AGAGCAGAGGAGAAAACTCACCCTCGACCACTTCACCATAGGCATCGAAGGCCTGCTTGAGAGATTGATCGTCTGTACTATAGGAAAGGCCTAGTACATTCGAAAACCAAGACAATCGTATCAACATCCATGAACCAACAGGAACACATCTAACGCTCAAGAAAAATCACACCAGAGAACATAATCTATATTTACCTCCGATGAAGAGCTTGTTGGTAGACATGAAACGGGCCGAGTTCATCATAGATCCCATAGGAAGAGAGCTGCTCTGTGAAACACTCTGCCTCAAGAGGCTACCCAATTTGTTGTAAAACGCCATGCCTGCCACCCTGTTTTACACAGAGGGGGAAATGAAAACACAAGAGAACAAAGAGAGATCAAAATCAAAACTTGGATTAGAATTCAGCTTATTATTATACTGATGATCAATCTTTGAATACAAAACATAGATACAATCAAGGTACAGCCTCAAATCCCTGAGCGGACAAAACAAAGGCGACTCCTTTCGGAGATCAGGGCTAACTCATAGAGCACATAATGTCCACTGATACACCATGAAAACCAGAATCCATGAGAGAAATAAAAACCCAGATGAGAAGACTTACCTGAAGGAGGAAGAAAATACGAGTTGAGAGAGCGGAGAGTGGAGGGTTTTAGGGTTCAGGAATCAGGATTAGAACTGAGCAAGCGGCTAGGGTTTAAGAAGGAGCAAGACTGACTGAGGGACACAAGTGTAAGATAGAAATATCAGTGGTTTACCGACTTTTCTATGGTGCGGCGGCCTTGATCCACTGCGGGGTGTTTCAGTTGTGATCGATTTAGAACAGCGATAGGCCGAGGCCGTTTCAGTTTCGGTTGATTTATAGAATTAATTACTACTTACTAATTGTAATCGAATTAGGCAGAGAAATTATAACAAAATTAAACAAAACAAATCAACTTTCTTGAACGTTTGATGATGAATGTAGGATTGCAATTTGCAAATACTTATCGTGAACGATAGTTCTTTCTAGTTTCTGGAACCTGGTACGCTACGAAAAAGTTAAAATGCTAACAAGCCCTTTTGTTAGCCGATACTAACTAATATACAAAGTGTATGAACTAGTATCCACCTTACAAAATTATGGCTACTGAAAATATTTCGATAAAACTAGAAAAATTAGGGAAAAAGTAGATGAATATCAAGAAAATCTAATAAATATAATAGAAGACAATGATAAACAATTAAGATCAATATTAGAATATCAAGGTAATGAAAAACAAAAAGATATATATTCAGATTTAGAACTCACTAAAGATACAATTACCAAAATAATAGTGGATATAAAACAAAGAGAAGTAGCAATGGGAAAAACAACTCCAAATTCTAAAGAAATAGTATTACCGGTAGAAGATCTTAAGGAAATCATTATTAAACTTTAAAAAATAATAATTAAATTAGATAATCAAAGGAGCATTACAATTGTAGATATGAAAGAATATCTGAATGAACATAAATCAGGAAAATCTAGCCCATTAACTATCATGGCACCCTACAAACTTCTATGACTAGTATTGACGAACAAATTAATTAATTAAATGATTTATTAGCCGCAATTACTATTGAATCGGAACCAGAGATAGAAGAAAATATAGAAAATGATAAAATAGTTCTTGACTATAGTAGCGACGAAAATCCCTATAAAAATTACACAAATGCAAATTACACAAACACTGAAACTGAGGATCAAGCTGAAACATCACGAAAGCGTGATTTTAATGACTATAAAGATGGTCAACTATTTTTTGATGACTACTTATATAAAAACTCGTATACACCTCGCAAAGGGGGAGGATGGAGTAAAATACCTCAATCTTACATACCAAAATATTCCACCACTAGTTTTAACAGTCCTGATATATTAGATCTTGATTGTTGCATCAATCCATTAAAAGAATTAGAAGACTGGAAAAATCGAACAGGATTATTAATACAAACTAATGAAGATCTAAAGAAATTACATCCTAACGAAATGTTTAATTTTTTAATATATAAAACAACTGGGGCAGTTTATCATTATCTCAACAACATGGATATTCCTACTAAGACAATGTTATATGGAACAACGGATGCGACGAATACCTTTGAAAAAAATATTAAATGCAATAACTCATGAATTCTTAGGACGACATCCTCGAGAAGATAAACCAAACACAACCATAAGTCAACAAGCTATTTGGCATTTAACTAATCTTAGAATCTGCAACATGTGCTTCTTAGAACCATTTATTTGTGAATTCAGAACACACTATTATCAAGTCACCCCTTCAATAAGGAAAGAGCTAGATAAATTACTCTATGCTAAATTACCACCTAATGTCTCTGAAAAAGTCGAAGCTATCTTTAATGAATCTTTGACAAAAGAAGAAATACCAGATACATTAGGAGGACGAATATTAGTTTTACAAGAATGGCATAAACGAGCTTGTAATAAGGAAAAACTAAAGAAACTAGCTAAAATTAAACTCTGTTGTGAAGAAACAATGGACAGAGTCAGAAAATATGGGTGTAATAATGATCGTAAGATTATTAAAACTCGAAAAAATATAGAAATTATAAAAAATGAAGAAAAATACCTTATAAAGAATATAGAAAAAATAGGTTTAGAAAACCAAATAAATATTTCAGAAATAGAAAACAATTTAAACAAAAATCAAAATAACAAGAACACTGTCCTAAGGAAAAACAAATTGTAGATGTTGGTTATGTAACGAAGAAGGGCATTACGCAAATAAATGTCCTAAGAAAAATACTAACACTAGAAAGCAAGAAGTTCTTAGATTGGCTTACGATTGTGGTTTTGAACCAATTGAAGAAATAGATTTTGAACTTTCCGATATAGAAATTATTGAATATATTTCAACCTCAGAGACCTCTTCAGATGAGTCAGAAGAAGGTATTAACTAAGGGAAATCCTAATGCAACATTTATTAAAATAGAAATAGAAAAGAAAAACTTTTTAGCATACATTGATACAGGGGGCAACGTTATGTTTTACCCAAAAATCAACTATAAAAAAATGGGATAAACTTGAAAAACCTTTAAAAATTATAATAGCAGATAAATCTATCCATGAAATATGGTATGTAAAACAATGTGTACCAATAATCATTGAAAAACATATATTTACATCTAAAACAATCTATCAACATGACTCAGGACTAGATATAATAATAGGAAACAACTTTCTAAAATTATATTAACCGTTTATCCAAAGGATTAGAACAATCAGCCTTAAATGTCCTAAAACAATAAACCAGGAATCTAAGATAATAACAACCAGAATAATCACGAAAATGAAGTGCTAAAGATTGTACTTCAAAACCTCAAAAATAGACTAGAATATATACAAATTATCTATAGCATTCTATAGGATACATTTGACCAGGTGTGTAGTGAACATCCTTTAGATAAAGATAAAAATACCAATAAGGAACTTATTGAAATTAAACTAAAGGATCCTAAAACGGAAGTTAATGTCCCTAACAAAATTCAATATACTAAACGAGATGTAGAAGAATTCCAAAAGGAATGTACAGAGTTAGTTGAAAAAGGTATAACACGAGAAAGTAAAAGTCCTCACAGTGCACCAGCCTTTTATGTGGAAAATAATATTGAAATCAAAAGAGGAAAAAGAAGAATGGTAATAAACTATAAAAAAACTAAACGAACAAACAATAAGAGATAACTATAAATTACCTAGGAAAGACTATATATTAGAAAGACTAAAAGGTCAAACGTGGTTTAGTAGTTTAGATGCTAAATCAGGATATTGGCAACTTCGTCTACATGATAATACCAAACCTTTAACAGCCTTTTCATGTCCACCACAAAAACATTATGAATGGAATGTTCTCCCATTTGGAATGAAACAAGCATCAGTTATCTAATAACGATTTATGGATCATGTCTTAGAAGGTTTTCAATCGTTCTGTCTAGCATACATTGATGATATTATTATTTACACTAATCAATCAGAGGAAGATCATCGTGAAAAAATCTTGAAGTTTTACAAAGAATAAAAGAAAAAGGTCTAATTATTTCTAAGAAAAAATCAAAACTTCTTCAAAGGGAAATTGAATATCTTGGTATGAAGATTAATAATTTCGGCGAAATTGAGTTGTCACCAAAAACTAAAGAAAAAATCAATAAATTCTCAAACCAACTTGAAAATAGAAAACAAATTCAACGTTTTCTTGGATGCTTAAATTATATACGTGAACAAGGATTTTTAAAATATTTAGCAAAAAAAAGAAAATATTTACAGAGAAAGATTTTTGACAAAATCCCTTGGTCATGGAATAATCAAGATACAAAAATAGTTTTATTAATGAAGGAAAAATGTCAGCATTTACCAAAATTATATAACCCATGTGAAAACGATTTTCCAATAATTCAAACGGACGCCTCTAAAGACACTTGGGCAGGGTGCATGTTAGCAATACAAAATGGCAAGGAATTATTACAAATGGACAATTTTGGAAATGTCAAAATTGAAAATAACGAGGCTACTGTCTCTGGCCAAATGCCTAAAGATTATCAGTCTTCGGACAATATTATTGAACTTTCAAGTTCTGAATTATCAGTTCTTTTCAACAGTGATAAATATTCTAAGAAATTATGCAAATATATTTCTGGAACATTTACCACCACTGAACAAAACTATCCGATCCACGAATTAGAGACACTAGCCTATCTCAGAACATTAAAAAAATGGAAGCTTGAATTATTATCTACAAGGTTTGAACTTCAAACCGACTCTAAATATGTAACAGGTTTTTGGAGGTACAAGCTACAGGCAGATTTCAACAAAGGGAGATTAATCAGGTGGCAACAACAACTCCATTATTACAATCATTATCTGAAGTATATCAAGTCCAGCAACAATCCATTCACCGACACACTAACTCGAGAATGGAAGGATTTATAAAGACCCTCATTAATCAGCTAAAGCAGAAGCAGGAAAAGAGTGCAGCACTGGAACAACAACTTCTCCTTTGCAGGGGGAGGAAGAAGCAATAATTCAATCAATCGATGTTATTCAGCAACAGTTAAAAATCAACTACATCGACGTTAGTACACTATCAATTAGCTCTGCTAATGGACAGCCATCAACAACCACCACAGAACTTGCTCAATCATCCACTACTACCAATAATAATACACAAAAGATAACACGATGGGCAGACATCGTTGAACAAAAAGAAAAAGAAGCAAGAGATTCCCACTACGAAGAAGACGACAGAAAAGGCAGCAAGTGATATGTCATATTCAATGCACCATATCGAGGAGTATATCACAACTGGGCCATCGCTAGCCAGCACATCAATGGCAAACCAGTTCAACATCAGTCATTTAAAACAAAAGAAGCAGCCGAAGAAGCATTTAGACAGTCATACAAAGTGATGGCAATGGAAGAACCAGTCAAGAATCAAGAGCAACAATCGCAGAAACTTATCATGAAGATACCTGGTATCAAGAGTATCCCAACCACCAAAGAAAAAGAAGAACAATTGAAACCAGTCTTTCAAAATTTTGTAACCAACTGGGATATGATAATCAACTACGAAGAAAAACACACAACCATGGGTTTTTATCCCATCAGTCGAGGAGGACCAAAGGCAGTAATCACAGAAGAAGCATCACCAGAACTCTCTTATGAGTTCCATCAGTATGGATTAATCGACATTATCTACACTACAACCATGAAAGTATTTGAATACTTTCCACAAAGAATGAGGAACGTGATTAGAAGATATCTTGAGCTTTTCGCCAAGGAACGAGAAATATTTCTCAAGTATACAAGCAGCTACCCCATATTTGATGAAGACAAGCTATTGGTCGGATCAAAGGCAGTTATCCTTATGGGAGTATCAAACCATGATTATCCTACCAGAGATGACCTACGAGACTATGAGAAGAACCCAGACTACCAAGTAAAGGGTCTTCTAGCAGTATGCAGAGCATTAACCAAGATTGAACCAGAAAGTCAGATCAAGGTCAATTACAGCAGCCCCGATGCCATCATCAGCAGTAAAACTAGAGGAAATATGACCAAGGAAGAATGGACAATCATAACAGATAAAACTAAAGAATTCACTGAAATTAATGGGAATCTATCAGCTCTTCCTATCCAAATCAAGAAACAGTTGTGCAACGCACTTACTATCTATGAGGACCACTTCTGTGAATGGTGTGCATCAACTGACGAAGTCATCAATGGACCAGCAGACCAAGACTGAAAGAAGCATGTGAAGAAAGAGGAATCAAACAAATATGGGATAAAACGACATGAGAAGGTTGGCCGACTCCTTTAAAAAAGTCGTGCATTATTGTATTTTATCAGCTTTTCTTATCGTTTCACGCACTTTATTTTGACGTGTTAGCTTTATGTCCCTATCTAACAGACGTAAGCAATGACGTCTTTGTATTCCCTCTCAACTCTATATAAGAGCAAGAGTTTGCAATGAAATAAGGCAGAACGAGTTTGGCCATAAAAGTTGCATGTTTACTCTCTCCCTCTAGCTAGCTAGTTGTAAGGCTTGGATCCACTGATCCTGGAGGCCACAATCATCTTCAACATAATCAAACGCACGAAGAGCAACTACAATCATCAAGCAATCATAAAAAATTCAGAGTTTCATCAGAAGAACAAGTCAGGTATGTCCAGTAATCCTACTTTAAGTTATTTTGACTATTTAAACAAAAACGATAATGAAAATTACTTCTTATATGGTGTCATAGACGTTAAGAAAATTAGGAAAAAAACTAATTTTACTATTTCAGAAACTCAAAACTTTATCACTAAGTCTTTTTTATCAAAACTCTTTGATAGAGAAAACATTATTAAATACGGTAAAATGATAGGAGAAGTAGCAGTCCCTATTGATCAAACTAAGAGCGATTTTCTAATCCAAGTAATAAACAAAGAACAAATTAGGAAAAGATTAGATAAACTAAGATTAGAAGAATGAAATAAAATAGCTTATATTCATATTAGTATAATTCAAATTATACTAAAATCAACCATGAAAATAGGAATTGACGCACCCATGGAATTAGAAATTCATGATGATAAACTCATTAATGAAGAAGAGAGTATTATTGCCAAAGGAACGGGAAATTTAGGAGTAGGAATAATTAAATTTGATATTAACCTACAACAAGGACTGAGTCTTGCAGATGGTAACCTTGACTCTTCTATCATTATAAAATACGAATTAAAAATAGAAAATTTTATAAAAGAAAATAGCAAACCATTTTCCGTAACTTATCAAATAAACTATGCATTAACAAATAGTCACCACAGCTTAACCTTCAAAAATAAAGAAGTAATTATTATAGAAGATTTATTTAAACCTTTAATTCAACTAGAAGCACCACTAAAAACCGTTAAAATAGAACCTAGTCGACCATCGATAACCCAAGATCAAAGACAAATAATTTAAACACAATCAGAGAGAATTAGGCATATCCCAGTAATTGAACAAAATTTAGAACAAGAAGAGATAACCAATAATCAAGTAAATAAATTAATTGAAGAGATAACCAATAATCAAGTAATAAATAAGTTGGAAAATTGCAACATTCAATAGCAAATCTAGAGAATAAAATCTAACAACTACAAATATGCCTACTAACTATCATATAAATTAATTAATTGAAGGAATAGATGCTATAAATCTCACTTCAATAAATTATATCAGTACGGTTACACAAGAACTAACTTATTTTGCTTCAGAAATCGTGGAAGAACAAATGAGTATTGGAACCACAGAAACATTAGAAGAAGCTATCTCCAAAACCGAATTAATTACTGATATAATAACTAGCCTAAATAAAATAAAACAAAAATTACTAAATCAATAAGACATTTTTGAAAATATAGCAAGAACAATTAACATGGTATCAGAGCCAGCCGAACCGATCAGCTACTCTCCGCCTCTCACATACCCGAATCAAATCGTTCCTAACCGTTCGATCTTGACTTACCCACGTGGACACCTATCTGTCCCTGTTAGTATATACTAACAAAAGACCTAGTTAGCAGCTTAGCTAGGTTTGGTACGCTATGGTAACATAGAACATTAAACATTTATATCAATAGTTATAGACCCGTTCGGGCCATGAACTGAAGCCTTTTCAAAAGCCCAACTTCAGTGGATGTTTATCTACGATCTATTACTCATGAATGGGCTTACATTTGGGCTTTTTCATTGCCTCTGTAAGCTCCCAACTTCAGAGTCCTTAGTCATAACACTTACTAGTACCGGGTCCGACCCGTTGGTCGGGAAAGTTTTGAAAAAGAATATGAATATGATAATTGATAAGTGACTACAAATGTATATACAATTCATATTTTTGTATTTTAGTTATACCAAGCGGTCCAATTGTACATGATGTGCTTACAATATTTCATTTTTTTCCAAATGATCAATATTAGACTAACCTCTCGTAAAAATTGAAATTATTAGCAGTTTTTTCTATAACCACTTGGGTCATTGCATGGTTAATTAATACTTCAGTCGTGCGTACAATAAATTTGAAAATGTGATATGAGGAAAATAGATGATCTATATGTTTATGAATATTAAGCATACTATTAAGTATTAACATTGTATAGGAGCTATTAGAAGTGGAACTTGGTTACTTGTCCTCTCCATAAACATCTCCATCTGCATCATATTGACGTGTTATTATGCAATTCACATAGTTGGTTGATTTTAATCCCTTTAGAGTACTGTGTCAAATGAATCATTTTGTAATGACTTATGAAACCATATAATTTGTTGCCTTTGCACACGTTAGGAGGTAGCCTGGTTAGCTGAGTGTATGACCAAATCAATCCACTTAAACCAAACTCACTAATAACTTTGAAAAATCAAACCAATTAGTCAAATTATTCGAACAGCAATTGATCAAATGCAAATGGTTGATGCACCACTGTAGACAAATCACTTATGTATGTAGTTGATTCGCCTCATGTATCTTTTTTATAGAGAGGTGTGTCATGTGAAGCGCTCTAGTTGGCTGGAAGATTGATTTGTATTTTTTTTATGGGTTTTTGTATTTTATTTTTACGTAGTTATGTTGATTAGAAAAGCCTAATATGTCTTCTCTACAATCACTTTGGTTGCAGAAAATAAAAATGGAAAAATATACTCTTTAAAATTTCATCATATATTTGATTGATTGATTGCAACATTTTTTTTTTCTATAAACTCATTAATTTTATTGCCCGCCAAATATGTTTCACTATTATTTTACTATAAGTAATTACGTTTTTATTTTGAGAAATATATCTTCTTATGAAATTTTACCTTCCTGTTTTTCAAGTACTCATTTATTTTTGTATTATAAAAATCTGTTGTCTGAGTTTTGCGGTGAAAATTAAAGGTAAAAGGAAATTGCAACGCGAGGAGAGGTGGAGGTAATCACGGAATATAGTAATTTTCAAGAATTGAATAATCCTACCGGATGTTAATAAAAAAGTTAGGGTATGCCTACGGTGACATGCATGTAACGATGACTTGCACTTTTCGGTCGACCTCAGCTAGGATTAGGTCGACCTCATATAGGATTAGGTCGACCTCATTTAGGATTAGGTCGACCTAATCGGTTGTTTCAGTGTAAAAATAGTTTCATGGTGCCTACTTTGGAGATTCATATCTTACAATTGGCTCGATGGAAATTGGAGATTAATGGCTTATTTTGAAGCTGGAGTGTTCCTCTACACATTGAAGTGATTGGGAGCTCGATAGGAAGTCCAGAAGGCCATTTTTTAACTTGATTAAAAGGCTATGCCAAAACTGGGAAACTGGCTGAAAATGGCTAAGTCTGGGAACGTGTTTGTGAAGCCTACTTGGAGCTCAATTCGAGAAGCATGGATGCGAATCGAGTCCAGGAGCCTCTACCACGTTAAATTAGGTATGTTTTTATACAAATTCAAGTCATTGGATCAAAGATTGGATATATGCAAAGTTTCAAACAAAAGGGTCGAAGTTGCTACAAAGACTGTTTTTCTGGCAGACTTCGAGCACAAGCAAGCTGCCAGAAAAACAGCCTTCGTAGTAACTTCGACCCTTTTGTTTGAAGCCTTCCCGATATCCAATTTTTCATCCAATGCCTTGACTTTATATAAAAACATACCTAATTTAACGTGGTAGAGGCCCCTAGACTCGATTCGCATACATGCTTCTCGAATTGAGTTCCAAAGTAGGCTTCACAAACATGTTCCCAAACTTGGCCATTTTCAGCCAATTTCCAAGTTTTGGCATAGCCTTTTGATCAGGTTCAAAAATGGTGTTCTGGACTTCTTATTGACCTCCCAAGTACTTTAATGTGTAGAGGGCTTCAGCTTCAAAACAAGCCATTGATGTCCAATTTCCATGTAGCCAATTGTAAGATATGAATCTCCAAAGTATGCACCTTGAAACTGTTTTTACACTGAAACAACAGATTAGGTCGACCTAATCCTATATGAGGTCGACCGAAAAGTGCATCTCACCGTGACATGCATGTAACTGTAGCAAAGTCCAAAAAGTTAATGATATGGTATTTCATGCTTTAACCTTGGTTCAACCATTTCATTCCGCTAAATATTGCCTATCAATTTTATTTTCAATAGAAGATTTTTCATATCAAATCGAAATTTTATAATGCCTAGAAAGGGCTCAAGATAGGGTTCAACCATTTCATTCCGCTAAATATTCCCTAAAAAAACCATGGGTTATGCACCCATCAATAACTAAATCTGGATCCTCTATTTAAAAAATTCAGATCTAAAGATGGAGAATTAAAGGCTATTTTTATTTTCTTTAGCTTTTTTAATCGGCTCATATCTTCTTCGTTTTAACTCTGATTTTAATTTTTTTGCACAGATGGAACGAGTTCGTTGTGCTCTACAAAATGAGATCCATTTTTAATATTTTTTGAGGAAAAAAATTTCTTGCCTCTCGGACCAATTGCATACCATATGGTATCTTCTTCGTTTTCAATTCGTTTTTGAAAACGTTTGCACAGAAGGAATGAGTTCATCATGATATATTGGATCTACAAATTTCTGGGTGAACAAATTACAGGACCAAAAAATACCACACAATACCACCCTGGTACGGGGTGGTATCTTGTGGTATACAATGTTAAAATTCGTAAATGACAGTTAATATACTTCTACTATCATGTATTCAACCATCCTATAGTCTTGGTTTGTTCATACCACCATGGTACGCTTTTAAAACCATAAGTATGCTCTTATTTCAATACCAGTCAATACCATATGGTATAGATTGGTAAAAAATGCCTCAATTTTTTTGTTCGAAAAATATATCAAAGTGGATATCATTTTGAAGAGCACAATTAATCTGATCAAACTGTGCAAAAAAAAAATTATTTTTTGACTTAAAACGAGTGAGAAATCATCCGTCAAAATTGAGGAGAGGGAAATTAAAGGTTTTTCAGGAGAGAGAGAGAGACGCTGATGTCATGCTGATGTGGACTGGTTACTCATGGTTACTCACTATAAAGTTACTGACATGATCAAGACCCCTAGAAAGACCTTTGGTTTTCATGTTTAATTTTCTTTTATCAATGTGGTTTTCAATCATTAATGGGTTACAGTGAAGGGTATAACGTTAACTTTTAGAGCTGAAAAAGAAGAACGATTGCCACATGTTCGTTGGATTGCCACGTGTTCTCCTTCTTTTCTCCCTAATTATGCAACTGTTTTCTAGCCATTACTTCCCTGTTCCCACTCTAGCTTCTTTTTCCCCTCCGTCCCCAATATTTTATAATCCTCAAACTTGAAAAAATGTCATATCCAGCGTTCTCTCTTATATATCTATAAAATGTTAGATCAATGACCACCTCGACCAATTAACCTCTGACATTCACAATTCATGTAGTTGTAAAGAGACCATATATTGTAGGGTCGTGGTGCATTGCCGAGAATTGATATATTTTTTGGTTGCTCATTCAAATCTTCACTGCCGCTGTAATCTTTCGCCATCTTATAGCCTTGGTTTGTTCATACCACAATGGTACACTTTTCAAATTCATGTATTCAACCATCCTATAGTCTTGGTTTGTTCATACCACCATGGTACGCTTTTCAAACCATAGGTATGCTCTTATTTCAATACCAGTAAATACCATATGATATAGACTGGTAAAAAATGGCTCAATTTTTTAGTTCGAAAAATATATCAAGGTGGATATCATTTTGAAGAGCACAATTAATCTGATCTAACTGTGCAAAAAAGTTAAATTTTGACTTAAAATGAGTGAGAAATCATCCGTCAAAGATTAAGGAGGGGAAAATTAAAGGCTTTTCAGGAGAGAGAGAGAGACGCTGATGTCATGCTGATGTGGACTGGTTACTCCTGGTTACTCACCATAAAGTTACTGACATGATCCAGACCCCTAGAAAGACCTTTGGTAATCATGTTTTATTTTCTTTTATCAGTGTGGTTTTCAATCATTAATGGGTTACAGTGAAGGGTATAACGTTGACTTTTGGAGCTTAAGAAGAAGAACGATTGCCACATGTTCGTTGGATTGCCACGTGTTCTCCTTCTTTTCTCCCTAATTATGCAACTGTTTTATAGCCATTACTTCCCAGTTCCCACTCTAGCTTCTTTTTCCCCTCTGTCCCCAATATTTTATAATCCTTAAACTTGGAAAATTGTCATATCCAACGTTCTCTCTTATATATCCATAAAATGTTAGATCAATGACCACCTCGACCAATTAACCTCTGACATTCACAATTCATGTAGTTGTAAAGATACCATATATTGTAGGGTCGTGGTGCATTGCCGAGAATTGATATATTTTTTGGTTGCTCATTCAAATCTTCACTGCCGCTGTAATCTATCGCCGTCTTTCCATCTTTATTCTTCAGTACCACCTAATCCTAGAAATCATGAATGGAGTTGAAAAACTAACCCCACTTTCAACTTACACCTAATCCTAGAAATTGTCAATTGCCATCTCTGAAGTTTCTGCAGCTGATTCCAATTCTCAAGATTCGATGGACACTAGAGCTGACTCTAGTTTGAAAAGCGAATAGTAAGTTTCAGCCCCTCCGGTCGGCGAACTGAATCTTGTTCCACAGTTTGGTGAGACGATACGTGGCTCACATGTCGTTCGGTGAGGTGACGATCACTTAAGAGGACGTTGCGACACTGACCGGTCTAGCGATCGACGGTGATGCCGTCGTAGTAGACATACCAGACGAGGAATGGGGGGATATGTGTCTTCGATTGTTAGGACGGGCTCTTACTGATCTTGACGGCGGCGTCATTAGGATTGCTTGGATCAGGGAAACTTTCGATCAGCTACTGCTTTCGGCATCACCAGAGACTACAGAGCAGTTTGCACGAGCTTATGCTCTGTCTCTGATAGGAGGTGTTTTGTTCCCCGATCGATCTGGAGGTTCAGTCCATCTGCAATACCTATTTTTGGTGGATGATTGGCGCAAGGCGGGGAGGTTTGCCTGGGGAGCAGTTGTTCTATCCTACCTGTACCGTGAAATGGGTAGGTCGGCGTTGCAGATGACGATGTCTTCTTCTCTTGGTGGTGACCTTGGTGGATGGTTCGCCTTGCTGATGCCTTGGGCGTGATACTGTACCAGATTTAGACTCAGAGGAGTAGGAGCTTCTAGATGGTGATCAGGTTTTTCGGACATCGATGTGGGCTTATGAGCAGTAGCTTCGAGCGGGAGCATCTGGTGCACCAGATGAGCAGGTTCAGTCTCAGGTGGATGAGATGTTCGGTACACAGGATCAAGATGATATAGTGGTGGGAGATCATCCCCAGCATGATGATGGTAGGCCTTCACGGAACAGGAGGGCAGCGAGGTGTGGTACTGGCGGCCATCTTGTTACACCCTGATCTTGCTAAAAGTCAAAACGAATATCATACCCTCGGAGAAATTTGTCAAATTTCATCGTAATATCGATGAGGAGTAAAAATGCGATCCCTCGGCTCAAACCGTGTCGAGTTTCGATATAAAATGAGAAAGTTATGAACAATAACTGAGTTTCGGATTAAAATCACTCGATACTTTCCAAAATACCCCTCGAGCTAATTAAAACCCAACCCAACCCTAATCCCATTCATCACAAGCATCAAAGCGCCCGCCCACGTTGTTCCCTTTGATCTCTCTCCACTAGGAGCAGGTGGGGACCTTAGCAGCTCTCCGATCTCTACTAGGAGATAGCCTCCCTACTATTAGACGTGCGGCTTAAGATAGGGTGAGTAACCTTAGAGTGAGTAACAATGGGTAACCAAATATGGACCCTTCTTTTAAGTGGCTGCAGATCTAAGGGTGGAGAATTAAAGGAATTTATTTTCCCTAGTTTTCTTAATTAGATTATATCTTCTTCATTCTAACTCGGATTTCAATTTTTTTTGCACAGATGGAACGAGTTCGTTGTGCTCTACAAAATGATATCCCTTTTCAATATTTTTTGAGAAATTTTTTTTCATCCCTCTCGTTACCAACTCCATATCATATGGTATCTCCTTCGTCGTTTAGTCATTTTCGGAAATTTTTGCACAAAAGGAACGATTTAATCATGATCTATTGGATTTCAAAATTTTACGGGGGAAAAAAATTCCATACCTCTCGTTACCAACTCCATACCATACTATACCACCCTGGTATGAGGTGGTATTTTTCATACCATATGGTATGCTGTTATTTAATACCAGTCAATACCATATGGTATTGACTGGTAATAACTGGCAAAATTTTTTTTGTTACAAAAAATATCAAAGTGAATATCATTTTGAATCGTTACCAACTCCATACCATACTATACCACCCTGGTATGAGGTGGTATTTTTCATACCATATGGTATGCTGTTATTTAATACCAGTCAATACCATATGGTATTAACTGGTAATAACTGGCAAATTTTTTTTGTTCCAAAAAATATCAAAGTGGATATCATTTTGAATAGCACAATTAATCTGATCTAACTGTGCAAAAAAATTAAAATTCCGAGTTAAAATGAGCGAGAAATCGTCTGTGAAAGATTAAGGGAAAGAAAATTAATGATTTTTCTAGGAGAGAGAAGGAGGCGCTGATGTGGCAGATTCTTATTGGGTTATGCATGAGATTACTCACCACAAGGTTACTCACCGGATCTTCTCCCGAGACGTGCGGGGAACAACGTCTTTTGTTTTTGTTTGAATATTAGATAATAAATTGCGCCTATTTGGTTTAAGGGGTCCACAGGAAGCAGTGCGGGGAACAACGGCCAGGTGCGCCTCTTGTCCAGCGAGGTCGGCGGCGTGTGAGACCTGCTCGGCAAACCTGCTCTCGGTGGTTGTTTACGTATGCAGGCAGGCAACCTGGCTCTCGACAAACTAGCCGCTCAAGCAAAGTGAGCAAAGTGGTCAATTAAATGGACAAGCAGCCAGCTGGGTCAAGCGACACTTGGCAAACGAAAATAAGTAAGCAAGCAGCTCTTGAGATCGTCTAGGCAAGCTGCTCTCGGTGGTGGGTTAAGCGAAAGGAAGCAAGCAATGTTTGGGTCAAGCGGCAGGTGTCAAACGAAAGCAAGCAAGCAGCAGCTCTTGAGATCGTCTAAGCAAGCTGCTCTCTGTGGTTGTTTGTAAGCAGGCAACTTGCAAAGCTAGGCAAACGAGGAAGGGGACACTATGGATGGCGGTGTGCTCTCGGTGGTTGTTTGTACGCAGGCAACTTGCAAATCGGCAAGCAGCTGTGGCTAGGTAAACGGGGCAGGGGACAACACGAATGGCGCTGTCTACTACGCTAGCAGGCAGGAGGCGGGCCGCTAGACAAACAAGGTGGAGGCGACGCGACATGGCCTCTCACCCTGCTGTCAGAATGGTCATTGATGCGGCACTCTACTACGTCAGCTACCTGCTTAAACAAGCAGGAGGGGCCAAATAAGGAGTCAGTGGGAGAGGATCAATTTGGATACGAGCAGGGCCAAATCCAAAACGTGGCCCCCTTCCATAAATTCCATCGAAAAGAGTAAATTGAAGGCGTTTAGTTTTGGGTAAGCATTTAGTTATATTCATGAGAGGGATATCAAGTGAAATGGTTAAGTAAATATGTACGTATATGGGAGGTGGTTTAACATGACTTGGGTGATTTGTTGTGGTTGATTTTTGGCAACTGAGACGAATGGAGTTGATCGGGGAGCATCGTCGATTAAATGCTAAGCTATTCCATGACATCTTTTGGAGTACCTAGTTCATGAAGCTGATGGATTTTAGCTATATAGTCAGGCGAGTGTAAAGAGGGTGAATTCTACGCCTTACGTGTTCTTTTAAGTATTATGATTTTAAGTATTTTAGCAAATTGGTTACCTTTGCTTGGTTATGTCTATGATTGATTATTTGTGCTTTGCCTGAGCTATGAGTTGAGGTGATTTTGTGCTATTTGAGGTGATTTTGTGCTATTTACCTTAAAGCGTTATGTTTGAGTTATTGTTAAAGTTTAAGAAACAAGTTCTTTTTTAGAAGTAACTCACCTTCAAGAAGGTGAAGTCGGTTTAAGTGTTTTTAGTCACTAGAGCCAGTCCGTTGCCATTTGAGACTTTTCAGATAGAGCAACAATTATGCTCTTGAGACTTTTCATATGAGCAGCAGTTATGCTCTTGAGATATTTTAAGATGAGCAGCAGTTATGCTCTTGAGAATCGTGGAAGAAGAGCCTTCCACGATAAGTTTAAGTTTAAGGAAAGCTTGGATGGGCTCTCATACATATGAGTTGGCAACCAGACTGGCTTGGGATAGGGTGAGTAACCCTATGTTACTCACGCGTGAGTAACCACCTTAGGACCGTAGATCTGGGCCGGGCTGATCGTGTGGCTGTGGTTGATGCGGTGATGGTCAGGGGCAATTTTGTCCGAAATTTGAATTAATGACTTCCCCCTTTTGTCCGTTGCGGATCTTTTTCTGTGCGCGAGTTGGATTCGGATTTTGGAGAGGGAAACTGCGAGCAGCAGCTGAGAAACAGGGGACGGCGATTCTCCATAGTTGATCGACGAGCAGCAGCTAATTGAATCGAGGTTTTTGATTCTCCCTAATTGATCGACGTGTGCGCGAGTTGAATTCGGTTTTTGGAGAGAGAAAGCTGCGAGCAGCAGCTGAGAAACAGGTGATGGCGAATCTTTTCTGATTCTCCATAATTGATCGATGGCGATGGAGACTGCGAGTAGCAGCTAATCGAATCGAGCTTTCTGATTCTCCATAATTGATCGACGGCGAGGTTAGATATTAGTTTTTTGATTCTTCCTGTTTAGCTAATCGAGTTTTCTGTTTATCTTTGGTTTTGTTGAGTGTTTTGACGATCTCTGGTTTTGTTGGAGGTTTTTCATTGCTGTTATTCGAGCTTGTTCATGTTTAGCTAATCGAGCGTGTTTGAGTTTCTCTGGTTTCGTTGTAGGTTTTGTAGAATTTACCTTCTCTGAGTTTCTTTTGTGTGTTCTGTTTAGCTAATCGAGCTTGTTCATGTGTTATGTTCTTTGTGTTTTGGTTTTTTTGCAGTATTCTGGTGAGATGAGTTACGTAAATTGTGGCGATGTTGTTCCATTTGATAGATCTGGTTCTTCATCTAGCGTTGTTGGAACTGCTTCTTCATCTATCGATTTTGGATTTGGTCATTCAGCTAACTCTGGTGAATCAGGAGGTAAGATATACAAATTTGTTTGTTTATTGAAGTTTGAATGTGTTAGATACCATATGGTACCATGGTGGTAATTACTGGTATACGATGAGAGGTGATAATATAGTGTTGTGTTGTGATGTTATTGTGCTCTGTATTTAAGTTTTACCATATCATACCATGGTGGTAATTACTTGTACCATGGTTGGAATCATCGGTATAGTGTCGTAATTTGATTTTACCATGCCTTACCATGTGGTATAGTGTGGTAATTTGGTTTTACCATGCTATACCATGTGGTATAGTGTGGTAATATGATGAGATGTGATTCTGTTGTGGTAAAATATGATTTTACTATGTCATACCATGTGGTAAAATATGGTAATTTGATTTTACCATGCTTTACCATGTGGTATAGTGTGGTAGTTTCAAGTTAAAGGTGGGGTTATGTGTGATAATTGATTTTACCATGTCATATCATGTGGTAAAATATGGTAATTTGATGTTATCATGTATAGTTTGTGGTATAGTGTGGGTTTTTGGGATTGTTGTTGCTGTAAGTGATTTTACCATGTCATACCATGTGGTATAGTGTGGTAGTTTGATTTTACCATGTCATACCATGTGGTATAGTGTGGTAGTTTGATTTTACCATGTCATACCATATGGTATAGTGTGGTAATTTGATTTTAGCATGCCATACCATGTGGTATAGTGTGGTAATATGATGAGGTGTGATTCTGTTGTGACATGAAATTCATTTTACCATATCATACCATGGTGGTATTATATTTGTACATATTTAATATGTTGCTTCATAATGTTTATAGGTTTCAATGGTATAGATCCTACTGTTCGTGATTCTTGGAAGGACTTACAGTTTAATACACCGGATGATGCATACAATTTCTATGTGGATTATGGGAATCATGAAGGTTTTGGTGTGAGGATTTACCAACAATCAGCGTGTCCGAAGCTCAATGGTGGTTCTTCAGCTGTATATTATATAAAGTATTGTTGCAATAAGGAAGGTTGGAGAAGAGGTAGCGAGAATAACCCTGATAATGCAGGTGTTGTTGATACGAATGTCTGTGTTCGTAATGTTCCAGAACTCAGGGGTGGATGCAATGGTGCTTATATTCGAATCAGGTGGTTTAAAGAGTTTAAATGCTACAAGATCTATCGTTGGTATAATGTGCACAACCATGACATGATTCCTGAGTCTCTGCGTCACTATGTGAGATCCAGCAGACGAATGGCTCCTGTGTATAAGATGTTGGCAGAGGTGAATGATGCTGCTGGTATTGGTGTGACTTCTTCGTATAATGCAATTAGTAGGGATGGTGGTGGTCGGAAGTTTGTTGGGTTCACAAAGAATGAT